GCTATTTTTCTTTTTTTTTTTGGAGGCGGGGTTTGGGTGTGCATTGGCCTGTGTGAAACCCTGGTGGGTAGATAATACGTGCGGCTCCAGGTGGGCTCATTGCTGTAGGAATAGACAGTCGCTCCATTTATTTGCTTAGGGGTTGGGGTATAAAATGTTTCCTCATAGCTCCTTCACGTGGAATTCGGCATCCCTCTCCCCATCAGCCTCAGCTCTCTCTGCAATCTGAGGAGTGTGTGGTATAAAAATTGCTGCCATCATAAATGAGAAAACCGTAAGGACCTGGTAAAACTTGGCTTCCCAGACAATCAGGGGTCTGGGCATGGCAGCCAACTATCTAGTGCAAGGAAAACGAGATGTGCCAAGACTCGATCAACTGCTCCAGCTCTCTATCTCCAAACAGAACCTCATCTGAATGCTCACAGGCTGTGCCCCAAGAATCTCATGTTCCCTGGGCACGCTGCTGGCAGCCTCTCTGTTGACAATAGAGCACACTTTTGCTGACCTAGGACTCATATTGCTCTTTAAGACTGCTTCCTCGGCCAGGCACAGTGGTTCACACCTGTAATCCCAGCCCTTTGAGAGGCCCAGGCAGGAGGATCTCTTAAGGCCCGGTGTTCAAGACCAGCCTGCTCAACATAGTAAGGGCAAATAATATCCCACCTTCCATTTTCCACTCACCAGTCCCTGAGGGTCAGCTTGCTGCGTTATGAGCCCAGAGGGGAGAAACCCAGTGAATTCAGGGATGCATCATGGACCAGTTTCTTTTAAGGAGCCTGGGTCTACTGCTATCAGTTCTGCTTTGAGAGAAGTGGCCTACAGTATCCTGCAGATTTCCCCTCCAGGGAGAAAAGCATAAATTATAGAAAATACGCACACATCATTCTTTCCCTCGAATGACGGGGTACTATGTGTACATGGTACCTCACCTAGCTTTTTTCACTTACCAGTATGTCTTAGAGATTGTCCCCTAACAGAATATATAGATCTGTCTGTTTTGTTGTTTTTCCCGTTTCTAAGAGCTGGAAACTGCGTTCTTAAGCAGCTGCTTGTTGTTCCATTAATTAGATTTATTGTACTTTGATCTGTCCCTGGTGATGGACATTGGGGTTGTTTCCCTTCATTTATATTTCAAGCTTGCTGCGGTGACAGTGTATACGCTTGCTTGAGCGTGTGTGTGTGTGCATGTGTGTGCATGTGTGTGCGTGCGTGTGCGTGCGTGCGCGCGTGTGCGAGCGTGTGTGTGCGTGCGTGCGTGTGTGCATGCGCGTGTGTGAGTGTGTGTGTGTGTCTAGGATAAATCCCAATAAGCAATTTAATGTAATTTCATTCTCATGCTCTCAGCAAACCAAAGGCATTATTTTTTAGAGGAAGAAGCTGAGGCTGTTGTTTTGATGCCTTTTTAACCACTGGATGTGGGGCTCAACTGTTTGATAGTCATTGTGTCCTTGACTCTTCTCCGACGCCAGGATTTGGCCCTTAAGCCCGGGGCCTGAGTCTCCTTCATCTTCGAGGGAGAGTGGGAAGAGCACAGGCCTCGGCCTCAATCGTGCCCCCCCTGCTTCTAGCTGTGGACTGGGCCAGGTGCTTCACCCAGCTGTGCCCCCTGTGAGGCATGATTTGTGCAAAATGGAAATGTGACCATGAAGATCAACAATGTCCCTTGATGACCAGTGCCGCTCCTCAGGGTCACGGGGGAACTCCTAGAAAGGGATATCTGTCCTGTTCCTTCCTGTGTGGTCCAGATGGCTCACAGCAGGGACCACGACATGCTGGGTGACCACCCACTGTGCCGGCACTGAGAGACTCCTGTGGAGTCACTGGGGATTCTGAGACAGCGGGGAGCCAGGATGAGGGCTGCAGAGTGTTCCCCAGCCCTCGCTGAGCAGACCCCTTGGATGGCAGGGTGCAGTCCCAGGCCAGATGGATGCCCATAACCAGCCATTTGGCTCTCAATACATAATGTTACCATCCCAGAGCATATCTGAATTTGCATCCCATCTGCAGAGGATGCATTGACCCACTCCATCAAAGTCCTATGTGAATTTTCCCTGTTGAGAAGACAAGCCCCTTCCTGGCTTAGACTTTCCTGGCCGATCTTTCCATGAGCTCCCTGAGAAGCCAGAACCACCCCCAGCTTATATGGAGACTTGGTGCAAATTAGAGAAGACGTCCCTGTGCAGGTGGCAGCCCTGAGCCCAGGCACCCAGCCAGGCAAACAGCCTGATTTGCGACTCCTCTGCCACTCAACCCCAGGCAGTCAGTTGCTGGAAAGTTCTAACTTTCCCTGCCTTCTCCATATTCCTGTCCCACTCCTCATCATAAATATCCCCACAGCCATTCAGCAGGGCAGTGAATTAAATATAGAACTTTTTTTCAGATTTGCAGGAAAGATTAGATCGATAAAGATGCAAGTAGAGCAATGAGCCTGACAGTTTAGTTGAAGCTCAGTGAAGTGAGGCTTCCTTCGCCTCCCCCCAGAATCATCTGAAAAGAAAGCGTGTCTCATTTCAGGGGAAAAAATATATATAAAGTGACATTTAAAGACCAAATTCCCAGGATACCCAGGGAAAGGTGAAACACAGGAGCCCACAGGCAGCCTCGATGATTCCAAAGATCCAAAGGGCTTCTTCTTCCTCATGTAATACAGGAAACAAACTAAACATGTATTAAGCGCTTGCTGTATGCGACACACTGTGCCAGGTGCTCTGTTTAGAACAGTTCTGTGGGCAGGCACGAGGCTCAATCCTGATCTTGCAGACAAGGACTGTTAGGCTCAGAGGTTCAAAGCTCACCCATCACTCAGCTAGAGAGGACAGCTGCAGGATCAATCTCAGGAGTGCTCGAGTCCGCAGAAGTTCCTGGGCTGAAGGACTGACCACAGGCACAAAGAGACGCGGGGCGGTTTTTATTGGATTTGGCTACCTCTTGAGTCAGCTTTGCCAGCTCTTCTCACTGGGGCAAGGGGAGGGAGGAAGTAGGTAGCTCCGGGTCCCTAATACAGAACCACCAAGGACTTGACTAGTTTTACTCCTACAGCAGTGTGTCTGGGAAGATCATGCTCTGTGACAAGCTACCAATTCCAGATGACATATCAGCTTGAGTCATATGAAACTGATGTTGATGTGGCTCAAAAACAGCTGTACGCCAGCCACATTAGACCATTTGATTTAAATATTATTAATTAATACCACAGACAGAGATTCTTCTCTGAGAAAAGGGCACTGCAGCCTGAAGCAGAGAAGGTGCACCGGTTCCCTGGGGTTGAGAACTCTCCACAGCCTGTGACAGCTCGGGGTGTAAAGCCCTGGCCCACTTATCCAGGGGAGAGTCTGGGTGAGATACAGGGCTCGAAGCAGAGGCTAGGAAGGGAGACGTGACACCCTGGCTGTGTGGGCCCTGATCTTGGTGAGACGCCACCTGGGTGAAACCATCATGGGAAGGGTGGAGTGGGGCGTGAAAACTCCCTTGGTTGAAGTGTGAGCTTTGCTGTAAGTTATGGTGAGGAGGGAGGCAGTGACAACCAGGAGGCCCATTTTGAGCAGCCTCAGGGTTTCTGGGGGACCCATCTGTCGTATCACAGGGAAGAGGAGGAGACGCCCAGAGGAGCAGTGTGAAAGGGCTGCCTCCCAGCCGGCTCTGTAGTGAACGACCAGCAAGTCCTGGCTGCAGAAAGAAGGGGAGTGCAGTCTGTGCAGAAACGTCTTTTTTGAATACTTGAAGGAAAGAGGAGATAAGAATAGTGGGGAAGCCCAGACCTAGTGAAGTATAAGGCTGGGAACTGTAGGGAATTCAGTGACCGGGAGCCCAGCACAGAAGGCTAACCGAGCCCCAGCCTCCAGCTTGGATCAGGCAGCCTCTCTGTGACTACAGAACCCTGAATGGTGCCACCCCTCCTCTTCACTTAGAGCTGTAGGATGACCAACGGTCCTGATTTGCCTGGGACTGGCAATAGTTTCCAATAGGTGGGACCCTCAGGGCTGAAACCAGGCAAGTCCTGGGCAACCCAAACACGGTGTTCCCTCTAGAGTGAATGACTCTGTCTGGTACCTGCTAAGAAAGAGAAGGACTTGTTGGTTATAAGGAGAAGAGGAAGTGAAATGGTTCTCAAAAAACAAAGATGAGAGCTTCTGGGTGCTGTTCTGCCCAGGGTTCTGGGTCTGAGACTTCTTTCTCCACGCCTACCTTCACGGAGAACTGAGGGGCCAGAGTGGGGAAAGGTGGAAATAAAGGAAGAGGATGGAGAATTGCTTTGGGGAAGTTTAGACTGGAAGTGTGAATTACGACTGCACCCCTAATTCAGCCCATCTCACCCCTCCCCTCCTGCCCGTGGTTCTCCCTTGCTCATCCACACCGTGGTCAAACTAGCTAGGTTTTGGAGAGACTTTGGACAGTCAAAGAAATACGGATCTAACTCAAGCTTGAAAAAGCCTAGGGCTGGCCAGACACGGTGGCTCAAATCTGTAATCCCAGCACTTTGGGAGGCCAAGGCGGGTGGATTACCTGAGGTCAGGAGTTCAAGACCAGCCTGGGAAACATGGTAAAACCCCCGTCTCTACTAAAAATGCAAAAATAAGCCAGGAGTCGTGGCACAAGTCTGTAATCCCAGCTACTCAGGAGGCTGAGGCAGGAAAATTGCTTGAACCCCATGGGGCAGAGGTTGCAGTAAGCTGAGATCGCACCACTGCACTCCAGCCTGGGCAACACAGCGAGACTCCATTAAAAAAAAAAAAAAAGCCTAGAGCCAAATGCCCACGGAGCCATTTACTGCATGGCATTGGGCACGTCAAAGGAGTCTCCTCCCCTGTCAAAGGAGTCTGTTGCTGTCTTCATCACAAGACTCGTGAGGATTAAAGACGGCAAGTGGGAAGTTGGGAAATGTAGTTTGCACCCAGCCTGTATTTGTTTCTTTCTGCCTGCCTAACATACGGAGCCACACAGAATTCTAACTCTGTTTCTCTGAGAACTAACGCAGTTACTTGCTTTTCTTTTTGATCCAGGCCCTCACCATGCCCACTGATTCAGTTCCAGAAGACTTTGAGTATGACGACTCCGCCGAAGCCTGTTACATTGGGAACGTCGTGGCCTTTGGGACGGTCTTCCTGTCCGTATTCTATTGCCTTGTGTTTGCCATCGGCCTGGTGGGAAATTTGCTGGTGGTGCTTGCCCTCACCAACAGCAAGAAGCCCAAGAGTGTCACCGACATTTACCTCCTGAACTTGGCCTTGTCTGACCTGCTGTTTGTAGCCACCTTGCCCTTCTGGACTCACTATGTGATTAGTGAGCAGGGCCTCCCCAATGCTTTGTGCAAACTCACCACCGCCTTCTTCTTCATCGGCTTTTTTGGAAGCATATTCTTCATCACGGTCATCAGCATCGATAGATACTTGGCCATCGTCCTGGCAGCCAACTCCATGAACAACCGGACCGTGCAGCACGGCGTCACCATCAGCCTAGGTGTCTGGGCAGCAGCCATCTTGGTGGCAGCCCCCCAGTTCATGTTCACAAAGGAGAAAGAAAACGAATGCCTTGGTGACTACCCCGAGGTCCTCCAGGAAATCTGGCCCGTGCTCCGTAACGTGGAAGCAAACCTTCTCGGCTTCCTGCTCCCCCTGCTCATTATGAGTTACTGCTACTTCAGAATCATCCAGACGCTCTTTTCCTGCAAGAACCAAAAGAAATCCAAAGCCATCAAACTGATCCTTCTGGTGGTCATCGTGTTTTTCCTCTTCTGGACACCCTACAACATTATGGTTTTCCTGGAGACGCTTAAGCTCTACGACTTTTTTCCCAGTTGTGACCTGAGGAAGGAGCTGAAGCTGGCCCTCAGTGTGTCCGAGACGGTTGCATTTAGCCACTGTTGCCTGAATCCTCTCATCTATGCGTTTGCTGGGGAGAAGTTCAGAAGATACCTCTACCACCTGTATGGGAAATGCCTGGCTGTCCTGTGCGGGCGCTCAGTCCATGTTGGTTTCTCTGCAGCCAGATCACAAAGGAGCAGGCAGGGAAGTGTCCTGAGCAGCAATTTGACCTACCACACCAGTGATGGAGGTGTGACCCTCCTCTGAAGGGACTCACAGAGCCTTGTGTCTACAGAGAACCTGGAGTTCCTAAATCTGATGCTGGATGATGAGGAAAGATTTTTGCTGTTTTTTCTTACAAGCACAAAATGATGGACCCAATGCACACGAAACAACCCTAGAGTGTTTTTGAGAATTGTGCTCAAAATTTGAATGACAAAGAGTAGACATGTCTCTTACTGCAAGTGTCAGAACTTTTTTATTTACAGATGAGAAAAATTCAACTCAGACTAGTTTAGTTAAAAGGGGGTGATGAATATTGTTCACATTGTGGCATAGGCAAAAGGGTATCTGAGCTCTCAAAGTGAGGGGAAACCAGGGCCTGAACTCTTCCCTCATTTGAATCTTTTAGTCATTATAGATTCCCCAGACTTACATGACACAACTTTATCACCAGAGAGGGACATGCTTCTCTGGCTGCAAAGGCAAAATCCCCAGGGAAGTGCTCTGATTGGGGAAGGTCTGTATCAAGTGCTCATCCTGGAAGGCGCTGTTCTCCATGTGGAAGGGATAAATAAGAGGGAAGCTTCCAGTTCAATCTCATGAATAGAGAAGCAGAAAGACATATTTCCAAGAAGTTGGGTGGGTGGGTGGGTGGGTACTATTCTGATTACACAGAACATATGCCACACCTCACCCTTACCATGTGTCCAGCCCAGTGTCTCCACTGATCACACCAGCCTCCTCTTCATTAAGCCCTCCTCCATCATGTCCCCAACCTGCAAGGGCTCCCCGCTGCCTACTGCATCAAGTCCAAACTCAAATGCTTGGCCTCTCATATGCCCATCATGGATTCCCAACAGATTCCCCATTGCTCCTCCTTCCCAAAGGACTCCACCCACCCTATCAGCCTGTCTCTTCCATCTGACCTCATTCACTCCACCTGCTCCCAGGCCAGTAGGGGAAATAGAAAGAACTCTGCCCCCAGATAAGAAGGGATGGATTCCAATCCCAACACTCTCAGTTGCCCCCTGGGCAGCTTGAGACCAATCAAGCTTCAGTTTCCTTGTCTGTAGAAGAGGGATAAGGTACCTTTTGCATAGAGACCACCCTTTCCAGCATGAGGAACTAGCTACCAGCTCTCGCAGGTCCAACCCTTTTGTCTGCTTCTTCAGACCTCTGCTTTCCCCACAGCTGGCACTGCAGCACCGTGCCCAAGTGGTGATGCTGACGAAACTTGGAGGAGCGTCAGGTGCTGCTGCATGACGTAGCCCAGACACAGAAGAGGCCAGTTCCTACAATGGCACCCAGCGAGCACTCCCAAGCCCGCCGAGTGATAGCCTTCCTTAAGCGACTCTCCTGGACTGTCTTGAATATTCCCTCCCAATCACCTGTGGCAGTCCCCTGCCCCTTTGGCAAAATACCCCGTCATTCATGCCACTGCCAACCTGGAGAGCCAGGGACACGGGAACAGCTTTTTCTTCTCCTTCTTCTTCTTCTTCTTCTTCTTCTTCTTCTTCTTCTTCTTCTTCTTCTTCTTCTTCTTCTTCTTCTTCCCAGAAACATTTGGGACGATCTAAAACTTTTGTTTTTTTTTTTTGAGATGGAGTTTCGCTCTTGTTACCCAGGCTGGAGTGCAATGGCGCGATCCCGGCTCACCGCAACCTCCGCCTCCTGGGTTCAGGCAATTCTCCTGCCTCAGCCTCCTGAGTAGCTGGGGTTACAGGCACGCACCACCATGCCCAGCTAATTTTTTGTATTTTTAGTAGAGACGGGGTTTCACCATGTTGACCAAGATGGTCTCGATCTCTTGACCTTGTGATCCACCCGCCTCGGCCTTCCAAAGTGCTGGGATTACAGGCTTGAGCCACTGCACCTGGCCCGGGACAATCTAAAACTTTAAAGCTTGAAAAACGACTGTGATAATGCTAAAGGAAGTGTCATCCAATCTAACCACATCAATCCTGTCCTTCTGCGTTCACCCATCCAGACCCTGCTCACGCTCCCACCTGTTTAGAGTTGCGATCATAAAGTATGGATGGTTTTATAATCTCATTTGTTTTCCTCTTAATGTCAGACCACATAGTGCTCAGTTTCTGCGTAGTTTGGTAATTATCATTTCAGAAGACTCCTCTACCAGACTGTGCACTCACTGAAGGTAGATGTGCTATCTGATAAACTGCTGTACATCCGACAGCTCTTTGGCAGTCTATGTGTTTGTATAATGAATGAGAGAATAAGTCATGTTTCTTCAAGATCATGTACCACAATTTACTTACCCTTACTCTGCTGATAAACATTTAACTTGTTTCCAGTGTTTAGCAAATACATATTTTGTAGAAGTTCCGTCTGTGTAACTTTCTTTCTCCTGTTCGATTGTTTCCTGTGGGTAAATTCATTGCCATGGAGATAACTGAGCCAAAGGACATGGGAACGTGTTAGCTTTTGATATACACATATGAAAATCATATATTACAAAGCCTTCACTGAGTTGTATTATATATGAAATGTGAACACAGACAATGAGGCTATTCCAAAGACAACAAGACCAAGCCTCTTCCCTCAATAGCTTAACATTTCAATGCAGAAGAGAAGAGAAGGAGTAGTCACGCTTTGCGGTAGTAGCACAGGAGTGCTACATGACTTCTGACCTGAGTCTTCAGGGGAAAGGAGTTCTCCAGGTAAAGAAAGAGATGGGCTTTGGGAGGCCGAGGTGGGTGGATCACGAGGTCAAGAGATCGAGACCATCTTGGTCAACATGGTGAGACCCCGTCTCTACTAAAAATACACAAAAAAAAAAATAGCTGGGCATAGTGGCGCATGCCTGTAATCCCAGCTACTCGGGAGGCTGAGGCAGGAGAATTGCCTGAATCCAGGAGGCGGAGGTTGCGGTGAGCCGAGATTGTGCCATTGCACTCCAGCCTGGGTCACAAGAGCGAAACTCCTTCTCAAAAAAAAAAAAAAAAAAAAGAAAAGAAAAGAAAGAGATGGGATTCCAGCCTGAGGAAGCAGCATGTGTGAAGGAAGTGTGTGAGAGCATGAGGAGCTCACAATGTGAGAAAACTTTGTGCGGATAGTAAAAGGCATTGGAAGTGGAGTGGGTGGTAGAAACCTTCTGAGCTGAGCTGTGAGGTGTAGGCTGAGCTAAAACAACCAATGGAGGAGGCGCTGGTTCTCCTCAGGTTGTTCACGGGTTTCTTCATCATCACCTGATCCTCATTCCAACTGTTGAACCATGAGACTCTAATTAAAGTTTAACCTGTTTCTGGACTTCCAATACAGAGGAAATATTTATTTGGGCTTGATAAATAAGAGAAACAAACACTTTAATTTCTAGAAGAAAATTAAATTCGTCTCATTAGAAACCCATATTTATTTATTCATTCATTTTGCTGAATAGGACAGAATAGGGAGAAAATAAGGAAGCTCACTGAAAAACCCAAAATAGCAAGGATGTTGGTGTCTAAATAAAAGAAGGCATTTTGGAAAGGAGAGTTGGCCCTCAGAGCTCACCTGAATCAGACCCACCCCTGCTTCTGAGCTCTGGGCTTCCCAAGAGCAGAGGAATCTGTGATGAATCCCGACATGTTAACTCTCTGCTTTGGGCAGGTTGCCTAACATCTCTGAGACTCAGTCTCCTCATCGGAAAAATTAAGATAAAAGTAGTTCCCACCCGCTAGGGTTGGCGCAGAGGATTCAGTAAGATTACTCCTGCTAAGATCACCGCGCAGATACGGCGAAGCAAGCTCAGACACGTGGTGGCGATTATTTTTACACTTATTATTTTCATTAGACTGAGCTTCTCCCAGCAACTCAATACATACTGTCCTGTCCTTCCTTGCCTTTTACTTTTCTTAGTAGCAGACTCGCAGACTCGTGTGACTGGAGATAACTGGGTCCAAATCCATACTTTGTGGGTTAGAAAACAGAGGCCCAGAGAGGGCCAGGAGGTGGCCCAAGGTGCCACAGTGAATTACTGAGAGAAGTAGATCCTTGATTCACAGTCTACCATCTCCTTTCTCATCTTGATAAAAATACAGATCAATCTGGCCTCTAAGAGCAGAGAGCACAGAAAGAAGGTCTGCCGGCAGGGAATGAGGCAGGGAAGAGCAGCACGCAAGGTGGCTGCAGAGTTTAACAGAATCAATCTGCATGTGGACAGGTGTGTGCTGTGTGGCACAGCTCTTGGCAATAGCCATTTGGAGACATCTGTATCTGGAATGACAGATAGTGTCAACCGAGACTCCTCAGCAATGCTGCAGAATCCCCAGAGGCAAATACTATATCAGTGGCTTCCAGGAGGATCTGGGTGGGTGGGCCAAGTCTTAGACAGACGGGGCACTGTGGAGGGACAGCCATACCCAGGGGCTGCCCAGTGCTTGGGTAAAATGCAGAATCCCTTCCACATAATTCCACTCACTTCCTGCTTATTCTGTGCTCATTTAATGACATTCTAAGGGAGTGTCTCCTTCCCAGGGACCTTACCATCAAGAAAGATGGAGCATATATGCTTTCAGTTACTAAGAAGAATTATCAACCCTTGTAATCCACTGCACCTGGAGTGTGTACAGGGTCTCATGGTCTTTCCGGTCACCTCTCTCGGAGATAATGTCCCTGAGCATCCAGGGGGAGAGTTCACCTCTGGCCACAAAGTCCAATAACTGCACCTGGGAGCACAGCAGCCTGATTGAGAGGTCCACCTTGGGCAGCACCTGGGCCCAAGATGATGCCCATTTGTGCCTTCAAAATTGGAGCAGTTCATCCTCTCTCCGCAGCTAATTTTTTCCCCACCTGCACCGCACTCACTGGCCCAGGGGGGCCACTTCAGATTCAACATGACTTGTAATATTGTTTGCCTAACTTGCTGAGTTGGCAACAAAATTTGGGGCCATTTAAGAGTAGTGTGATCTGACAGCAAGTGAGAAAAGTGGATCTTAGGGAATTTAGAAATATCCGGTTTCTCTTCAATACACTCTCCATCCTCGGGAGGGCCAAGGGCCAGGTCGTTTTCTGAGGGATGTGTGGCGTGGTGTTTCTATTTCTGTTCTGTTACAGCACGTTGTTAGGCAAGAGCGAGAGCTCCTCCAGACACACCCAGCAGCGCTGGCAACCGCAGAACATGCTCAGCAGGAAAATTACTCTTTTACTCCATGTTTACTATTTACTGAGATAGAAACTAACATATCATTTAGTTTGTATTTCTTGGAATACTAGGTAAGATTGTTCGGTTTTCGAGGTGTGTGTTTTAAATTATTTGTATCTTTTTCCGATTCTAAAAGAAAGATACTCATTATGGAAAATATGAAAAATATACAAGTTAAAATTAAAAATTTTTTTATTTACACAATATTCAACCTCCCAGAGATAATCGTGGTTTAACACTGAGGTTATTTTCTTCCCTGCCCATAATATTTTTTTAAAAGACTTAAGAACAGACATTTTTCAAAAGAAGACATAAAAATGGCCAGCAGGTAAATGGAAAAATGCTCAATATTTCTAATTATTAGGAAAACGCAAATTAAAATCAAGATGAGCTACATCTCACATTTGTCAGAATGACTTTTATCAAAAAGATGAAAGATAATAAATGTCAGCAAGAATGTGTCTAAAAGGGAACGCTTGTGCACTGTTGGTAGAAATATGTATTAATACAACCGTTGTGGACAAAAGTTTAGAGGTGTCTCAAAAACTAAAAACAGAAATACTATGTGATCCATCAATACCATCTCTGAGTGTTTACCCAAAAGATGTGAAATCTGTTTGTTAAAGAGTTGCCTGCACCCCCATGTTCACTGCAGCACTATTCTAATAGCCACGTTTTAGTATCAACCTAAGTGTCCATCGACAGAGGAGTGAAGAAGGAAAATGTGGTGTATTTGCACAGTAGAATACTACTCAGCCTTTAAAAAGAAGGAAACTCTGCTATCTGCACCAACATGGATGGAATTGGAGCACATGATGCTGAGTGAAATCAGACAGGCAAATACTGCCTGTTCTCACTTCTATGTGGAATCTGAAACAATCAAACTCATAGGAGCAGAGAGTGGAATGGCGGTTACAGACGCTTGGGGGTGGGGAGAGAAGAGAAAGCTGACGGTCAGAGGGTACAAAATTTCAGTTAGAAGGAATATGTTGCTTTTTTCATTTTTGGAGTTTTATTACACAGTGTGGTGAATCTAGTTAATATTAGAGTATTGCACACTTCAAAATGCTAAGAGTAAATTTCAAATGGTCTCACCACAAAATATGTTAAGTATTTGAGATGATGAATATGTTAACTAGCTTGATTTAATAATTTCACATCGTATTCATGAATAACGATGCTTTTTACTCCATAATTCTATATAATCATAAATCATCCATTTACAATTTTAAAAGCTGAACAAAACCTAAAGGCACTTGAATTTCATCAATAAGGAAATGGTTCAGTAAACTTCAATTCAGCCATAAAATAAAATATTGTATAATTTAAAAGAATGAGTTCATTCTATAAATATGAGCCTAAAGCTATGTCCATAATATATTCTTAAGTCAAAAAGACAAATTTCAGAGTTAAACATATAACATAAGCACATTTTTATTTTTAAAAGATTTGAGATCAGAACATACACACAGCTTTATATCTTCTTTCTTCAATTAGCATTATAGTATGGTCATTTTCTCATCGGTTATACTCAAACGTGATCTTGAGCGATGGCATAGGACTCAATAATAGACTTTATCCATCCAAGCCCTACTGACAGACATGGGCGCTACTCCCACTTTTTCACTGTGAGGAATGGCACTGTGACGAACATAAGTCTTTGCACATATCTCTGATCGTATGAAAGGGATGAGTAGACTATAGATTTGAGCATTTGTAAGTCTCTTGCTGGCTACTGGAAATTTCCTTTCCAGAGAGATGACACTGTGTTGCTGACTGACTAAGACTCCCAGTCCCTGGCCTTAGCACCGCCTACCTTCCTGATCTTTGAGGTTAGCTTATTGCTATTGGGTAACAAGCCAGCCACTGACCGTAAGAGGCAGAGAGAAAAGACTTCGGTTCTAAAAAGGGTGTGCAAGGCTGAGAGGGAGAAGAAGAGGGATGAGGGGATTTTTTGTTTAAAGGGACCGATAACATCACAAAACAGTTATTTTAAGGAAACTGAGAGACTACTTAGCACCTGAGCTAAGGGGACACAGAAGAGACCATCAGAGCCACACGGCACCAGGCAAGAGCAGGACGTAGATACACTGGCACTGGGGAGAGAGGGGCTTCCTAGCAGCAGAAGAAATGGAGGTGAGCAGAGCAACCAGGAAGCCCTGTGCAGCGTGAATGTTCAAAACGTCCACTTCTGTACAAAACGTGAACAACCTGCTAAAGGCAACAGAGAATCGGTTCCAGGTTTAGCACCGTTGATTGGACTTCCAATGCACCCACCGTCACTTCGGATACTTGCCCATAGCACCTCAGCATACTGTGGAGCTCACACCTGTAAAACAAAAGAAAGAACGAGGCTGGGCGTGGTGGCTCAAGCCTGTAATCCCAGCACTTCGGGAGGCCAAGGCAGTTGGATCACGAGGTCAAAAGATCGAGACCATCCTAGTCAACATGGTGAAACCCCATCTCTACTAAAAATACAAAAAATTAGCTGGGCACGGTGGCGCGTGCCTGTAATCCCAGCTACTCAGGAGGCTGAGGCAGGAGAATTGCCTGAACCCAGGAGGCGGAGGTTGCGGTGAGCCGAGATTGAGCCATTGCACTCCAGCCTGGGTAACAAGAGCAAAACTCCGTCTCAAAAATAAATAAATAAATAAAAGAAAGAACGAAATCAAGCATTAGCAACTTTATTTAAATAAATACTCTCTGGGTTGCATTTCACAAATTATTTATACTTTGTGTGGAAGTGAAATTTATTAAAAGTTCAAACCGTAGTGACTCTGTGGACAACCTATATCCAGGAAGTCCGTGAGTTCCAGCTCTAAGAACTCCTTGGCATGTCGAGGTGCCCCCGCTTTGGGGAGGAGGACGCCCAGCTGCCAGACTGGGAAGCCTCATACTAAAAGGCTTATTTACACTTCCAGCTCTGCTACAAGAGTCTCCCTTTGAAAGCACATTATTAGGTCAGACACGGTGGCTCATGCCTGTCATCCCAGCACTTTGGGAGACTGAGGCGGGTGGATCATGAGGTCAAGAGTTCGAGACCATACTGGCCAACATGGTGAAACCCCGTCTCTACTAAAAATACAATAATTAGCTGGGCATGGTGGTGAGGGCCTGTAATTGCAGCTACTCAGTAAACTGGAGGTAAGAAAATCACTTGAACCCAGGAGGCAGAGGTTGCAGTGAGCAGAAGTTGTGCCACTGCACTCCAGCCTGGGCAACAGAGTGAGATTCTGTCAAAAAAAAAAAGAACATTATTTCACTGAGGAAATAGAACCAGAAAAGAAGTTCCACAGCCTCCCCAACCACACCTTCCCATCCCCCTGCAGCTGTGCCACACCTTCCCACCCCTGCAGCTGTGCCACACCTTTCCATCCCTGCAGCTGTGCCACACCTTCCCATCCCTGCAGCTGTGCCACACCTTCCCATTCCCCTGCAGCTGTGCCACACCTTCCCATCCCCCTGCAGCTGTGCCACACCTTCCCATCCCTGCAGCTGTGCCACACCTTCCCACCCCCTGTAGCTGTGCCACACCTCTCCACCCCCTGCAGCTGTGCCACACCTCCCCACCCCTGCAGCTGTGCCACACCTTCCCACCCCTGCAGCTGTGCCACACCTTCCCACCCCTGCAGCTGTGCCACACCTTCCTACCCCCTGCAGCTGTGCCACACCTTCCCATCCCTGCAGCTGTGCCACACCTTCCCACCCCTGCAGCTGTGCCACACCTCTCCACCCCCTGCAGCTGTGCCACACCTCCCCACCCCTGCAGCTGTGCCACACCTTCCCACCCCTGCAGCTGTGCCACACCTTCCCACCCCTGCAGCTGTGCCACACCTTCCCACCCCTGCAGCTGTGCCACACCTTCCTACCCCCTGCAGCTGTGCCACACCTTCCCATCCCTGCAGCTGTGCCACACCTTCCCACCCCTGCAGCTGTGCCACACCTCCTACCCCCTGCAGCTGTGCCACACCTTCCCATTCCTGCAGCTTGCCACACCTTCCCACCCCTGCAGCTGTGCCACACCTCCCCACCCCTGTAGCTGTGCCACACCTTTCCCACCCCCTGCAGCTGTGCCATACCTACCCATCACCCTGCAGCTGTGCCACACCTTCCCATTCCCCTGCAGCTGTGCCAGGGCACCCTGCTGGCCCTCCTTGCATCATGGAAGAATCGTGCCTGTGCTTATCTAAAGTCAAACCTGCCACCTGCACGCTACATTCCAGCCCCTCCTACCTTCCTCCCCCGCCCCCCCCCCCCCCGCATTTGTCCCCTCTCTCCTGCCTTATCGATCTCTCCTCCCCGCTGGGTAATTTTCACTTGGCGTGCAAGCCGGCCAGAATACCTCCATTTCTAGGAGCCTCCTCTGTCCTCATCTCCCCCAGCTCCTGTCCGTGCAGAGGCAATCTGGAGTTCTCCCCAGGTCCCTGTCTCCCATTCTGGAACTTTCTTCTCACCGCTCCCCAGACACACCCTTGTCCAAGTCACCAGTGTTCTCTACGTTGCCAGATCTGACGATCCGTAATCACGCCTCCCCTTACTCGACCCACGAGCAGAATTAGGCGAAGCCGATCGCTCCTTCCTTCTTGAAGCACCTTTTCTTGTCAGCGTTGCAGACGCCACTCTCACGGTTCTCCAACCCCCTCACTGCGAGCTCCTCTGCAGTCTTCTTTCCTGGTTCCTTCCTGCCTCCCTAACCTCTATGCCTCACAGGCTTCAGCCTCAGTCTCCAGACTTATCCTCTCCTCTTCCCTTCCAGCTTCCCTCTTTTCCTCCCTTCCCCTCCCCTCCCTTCTCTTCTGTCCTCTCTCCTTCCTCCTCTGGAAATCTCAGCCAGTCGAAAAACCATCTCTAACACTGACAAGGTCCAGGCCTTTTTCTCCAGCTCAGACTTCTCTGAAGTCCAGTTGGGTATATTTAATTCCCTAACAGCTTCCCTGGGATGTATAATCAGCATCTCCTGGCACTCATCGCAAACCACGCTCCCCTGCAGTCTGTGCTGTCTCAGTAATGACAGCTTCATTCTTCCAGGTGCTCTGCTCAAAAACCTCGGAGTCATCCTAGATGCTCCACTTTCCCTAGCACTGCATGTGCGGCAAAACCCACAGAGGTTTCTTTTTTTAAATGGCTCTACCATGTGGAATGCAGATTCCTCCTCCATTCTCACAAGAGAATCAATCAGTTTCAGTCTTCATCTGTGGCTTTACTGAGCGTTTTCATCTTTTCCTACGTATTCATTGGCATTTTAGTGGAATATTGAAAAGGACTGCCCAGAGGCTGTTACCAGATGCCATTGAAACCTGTAAGTCAACAAAATGACTTTTAGCTACAACAGATTTATCACAGCCATGAATATAAACTGATCAGAGGCAGCAGACCACACTGCGTTAATTCATCAGTCCTCCGAGTACGGCAGATAGACGTAAGCTGGAGAAAACAGTAAGCAATCCGTGTCCACGCCAACTCTTTGGAGTACTGATCGCACTCCGTTTGGCTACTTCCTAAGGGCAAGCAGGTATTTTACCTGTGGTGGCATGAACCGCTAAGACCGTGCCAAACCTTACACCACGAAGCATTTTTTTTTAAATGCTCAGTCTAAGGATGGGATAATTGCAGCAATTAAGAGCTGAGAGTATCTCTGAAATCTCCTGTCCCTTTACTGGCAAAACAGAATTGAAAATACCTTGTGTAAACCCTAAATACAGTGTCAGAGCAAACTCGAGAGAAGTAAGGAGCCCAGGTTATCACCCTTCAGCCCGGTCTAAGGGAACACCTGCCCCAGACTACCCTCTTCCTCCAAGTATTACAGGTGCCATCATGGAGGCCAGACTCCCCGACCTCTGTCTTCAGCGAGAGCAGCAGGGCCCTGAGGCCATTTTGCCACTCTCTTGCCTACAGGGATCTGCCGTGGCCCCTCCTCAGACCCTGTCTCTGATGCTGATGAGCCTGCACTTGAAGGTTAGACGTCTGCACTCAGAGTGTTTGTCTTTGGAAATTACTTAACTACCTTGGGCCTTATAGCTTACTCAGAAAAGTGGGGTGGTAATATTTATTTTCAGGATTAATTCTAGTGTCTAGGAACTTTCCCATGGACTCCTAACTTCTCTTCCCTCTTCAGGAGTAGAATGAGATGAAGATTTGCAGCCTGAGACCTCATGCACACAGGGGTCTCCAGGAGTGCCTAAGCTGCATACACAGATTTGAACCTATCTTGGGGCTGAAGTAGGACCTAAAGTTACACGTGCTTTTTCATAAACACAGTTTTGCACTGAAGCAGAATATGAAGGACACAGAGTTGAGGAGGCAAGAGGTGTCGTTCTGCTCTGTGATGAACCTGAGTGAGCCCTTGGAAATATATGGCTTTGGGGTTCATGGCATGTGCTGGGTAAACTCGGCTGCTGAACGTTTTCAGATGGCGCAAAATGTTACTAAAGTACTAAAGGCTTGTTGGGGTGAAATTAATGCAGCCAGAAAAACGGTGGTTAAGTTTTCACTGATAAAATCTTGACATTTGTCTGAGTAAGAGATAGCTTGAAGCTGTGGGAGTAGCTGTAGTTAGCAGTGCATTGACACTTGTGGGCTATGTTTAAGCATGTCTAAAAAATGCACTTCTCCTGTACTTATGACTCATCTTTATAGGATAAATCTTTTTCGTGAATTAAATTTATCTCTTAAATCTAAAACCACAATGTGCTATTTTTTCCTAATAAAAGAATAGTTTCTTAGATCATTTATTTGTGCTGCTATAACAGAATACCACAGACTAGGATGTTTATAAACAAAAAAAATTTATTTCTCACAGTTCTGGAGGCTGAGAATTCCAAGATCAAGGCACCAGCATTTGGTCTGATGAGGCTCTTCTTACCATGTCCTCACACGGCAGACGGCAGAAAGTCAAGCCAAGCTAGCCAAACGCTGAATGAAGCCTCATAAGAGATAATCCCATTTACAAGGGAGGCACCTCATGGCCCAGTTACCTCTTAGAGACCCCCACCTCTTACTACTGTCACATTGACAACACCTGGATTTCGGAGAGGACATATTCAAACCCCAGCAATGGCAGAGCAAACAGGCCTAAGGCGCCCGGGTGCCAGGTGATGGTGTTATGGGGCTGCAGCCACTTTGGACTGCCCGCTGGGGACTTCCCAGCACAAGAGTCACAAAGCCTCCCACCTGTTCATACCACCTTCTATTGGGTTTTCTGCTCCTTTCAGCCCCCTGCAGTAAGCCGGTGACTACCCTTCTTTGAGCCTCTGCTTGGCACGCTGGTGTTCACCAGACGTCTCCCCATTGTACCTCAGCCATCGAGCCGCATAGGTGGTCCAGCCCCTGCTGCTGCCTGCCTTGGCCCTCGGGTCCAGCTACTGTGCTCACTTCCCCATGCCACACCGCAGGCCAGAGTCACTCTGCTGACCCATGCCACACCACATCGTGGGCCTCAGAAACACGGGTTATGGCTATCCACCCAGACCTGTTTTCTCTCTGGGGTCTGCTCCCTCCTAGGACCATGCTCAGGGAGCAGGGCACAGGCCCCGTTGCCACTGGATCCTGCAGATAATCATGGGTGCTGCGGCATCTGCAGGGCTCTGCCCCAGAGGCAGAGAAGGGCCTTGCTCTCTGTGGCTCACCTGAGCTGTGTATTTGTAGCTGCCCTGCCAGACCCTGCCTCCTCCTGCCCAGGAAATCTGTTTATGGTCCAGAAGGAGAGGAAAGGGGACAGCTTCCTCTTTACCACTGCCTAAGGAATTTAGACCTTTAAAAAGTAGAATCGGGAAAAAATAGGTTAAAATTCTCCATGGCTTGTTCTGTTCCACAGGGCATAGTACAGACTAGGTGTCAGATAAAAGTGAATGAATTTGAAAAGAAGGAATAAAAGAGAGGGCCAGTGTGCCACAGGGCATGGCAGAGTCCTGGACATCGGAGGTCAGAGAGGAAGTATCATGTGGAAGAACAGATAGTGCAGGTGCTGTGGCTGGAGCCTTAGGGACCAGGCAAGACTGGAAGAATCCCACAGACGCGTGCTGCTAACTGGGGACAGCGCGAGGGAGAAGCCATCACAGAGGCACGGGAAGCGCAGGCAAAAGTAGCCCCAAGTCCTCTCCATCCTCCACTTCACACAGTCAACCCTCAGAGTCACCCTGTCCCTGTGTCCTTCAGCCAGACCCTCTGTCAATAGCCTCCCCTGCCCTCACTCTGCACACCACTAACTCCACTGCCAGCACCACGGCCAGTCTCCCCGGCACTGCCTGGTGACCGCCTGCTTACCTGAGTCTCAGCATGAAAGGAAATGGGATCACCTTTGCTGGAGCCCCCTTCTGTCTTTGTCACCTCCTCAAAAGACTGCCAGAACTGGCTGCGGGGGGCTTCACTCCTCCATCACCATTGTGACCCATCACTCCTCCTGTGCTGGGGGCTGGCCAGCAGTCCATGGGGTGGAAGAGTCCCTAGGTCTGTGTGTGTGCACAGACACACATATGTACACATGCACATGCACACATGCTTCCTAGGAGCAAGAGAAGGGCTGCGTTTCATGGAGGGTGTGGCAGTCAGGTTTAATGACATGGAAATGTTCAGAATAAGAAGGGCTGGGTGCGGTGGCTCACACCTGTAATCCCAGCACTTTGGGAGGCCGAGGCAGGCAGGTCACCTGAGGTTGGGAGTTCGAGACCAGCCTGACCAACATAGAGAAATCCCATTTCTACTGAAAACACAAAATTAGCAGATGAGATGGCGGATGCCTATAATCCCAGTTACTTGGGAGGCTGAGGCAAGAGAATCACCTGAATCTGGAGGCAGAGGTTGCAGTGAGCTGAGATCACACCACTGCACTCAAGCCCAGGCAACAAGAGTAAAACTCCATCTCAAAAAAAAAAAAAAAAAAAAAGAAAGAAAGAAAAAGAAAAAAAGGCCTGTGAGAACCCAGGAAGCTATGGGGAGAAGCCCCAAGTTACTGGGTGGTTGAGACCAGGCTAAGAAGGTTGGTGGCTGCTTGAAAGAGCAGTGATCCTGGGGACTTGGAAAGGTCCTGCTGACACATAGGCAAAGTCCCCAGCTCTCAGACGGACGCTTCTCCAAACAGCCCTCACACAGCCAGACAAGCCGAATGCCCTCCTGGCCCATGGCCACCTGCAGGACCATTAGCAAGGGAGCCTGACATCCACAGAGATGCCCCTCTCTCTGGTCTCCTTATCTCTCCTCGTCCCAGAGCATCACTGTCCCCATCTCCACTCATCACTTTGTGTCCTTGCTCCTGTGATTTCCCTCTCTTCCAGGTTTCTCCTCCTCAGTTAGAAGGAAGAGCAGGGCTGTTATACGCAGAGGCAGACCCAGCTTCAATCTCAGTCCAGCACTTCCCAGCCCTCCTGAATCCAGACAGCTGTTCCCAGGTCAGCAGAATGTAGTCTTCTTGTGGGTAACTGCCATGTGGTTAAGAAAGCCACTTCTGTGCAAAGGTATGTGGGACCAGCAATGTGAAAAGTGTGGAGAAAAAGAAGCAGGAGGTATCTGGCCCCACACCTGCCCCAGATATTTTCAGACCCTCTGAGAACTCCCTGGATCTGCGTGGGAGCCAGCAAGGCTGTGGCAGTTTTGGGGTCTCAGGAGCTCTGCAGTCATTGGAGTGTACCACAGACAGTGCTGCTGGGGAGCCAGGAGGAGATGTGATCGCAGGCTGGAGACGCCTGGTGCCTGGCAGATGTGTAGGATGCCATTGGAAGGCATGGACTTGTTCCTGAGCACCTGGGAGCTGCCCCTCCAGAAAGGCATCAGGAGATGCTATCCTTCCTCAGGGGAGACTGGAGACCCCAGATGATCGTTGGGCCCCATTAGTATCTTGGGGCATTTGAGCCACAATAGCCAAGGGACGGTGCATTTATTTCTAAACTTGTCTCGGCTTCTCCATGTGAAAAATGGTAATAAGAGCAGCATGGGGCTGAAGCAGGTGGGTTCCCAGCCCCGCCATGTATGTGCTGACTACACGATTGAGGCAATTCATTCAATGTCTCTGTGCCTTCATTTTCCCATCTGTGAAATAAACAACACCCCAGTGTTGGGGTTTCTGCTGTTACGGCTTCTGCAGGAAGCAGATGCTAAGATGGGAAGGAATTGGACCTGTGAGAGATGTGTTGGGGAGAACACCTGTGAGGGAAAAGGGGTGGCTGGGAGAGGCCGAGGAGCCTTCAG